CGAAAGCCTCCTCAATTTCTAACTAATTTAACCAATCAATCAGCTTATTTCGTAAAATTGGCTCAATTTGGCGAATGCGCAGCGCCCAGTTTTCCGCTCCAGATCATCGATTTGGAACCAAAACGCCCCAAAAGATCGATGGTCGGCTTGTCGTCATTTTCATTCTCAAACGGATCAATTCACAGACGGTAGAACAAAGTTAATGGACTAATTTGGAAAACAATTGACAATTGGGCGGATGCGCCCCAAGTCCGCTTTACGCCCCAAAAAACGACGCTGGGGTCAGAAAATCGCGGCAATCCAAAGCAGTTCGCTTTAATATCCTTCCCTAAACCGATCACTGCAGTGAAAACGCGCAATTAGCCAAATCATCGGCCAATTTGCCAAAAACCGTGACAACCGGGCGAATGCGCCTTAAAATCCCCCCGTTGCTTCTCAGGCGTTTTTCGTTTGTTGGGCAAAAACCCAACTGCTCCGAACCGCCTTTTCGTGCGATTCTCAACAGTTTGGGCCCCAGCGGCTCGCCAGCGTCTTCCATCGAAAGATTGCGCGTCGCCGTGGAGCGTCGGTCCGTGACGCGTCGACGTCGACAGCGCAACAAAAGAACGGAACCGACCGGCAGGACGGAAGGAAGGAAGGAAGGAAGAAACAACAAAATCAACACACCCTGGCGTGGCCCTCGCTGCAAATCTTTCAGTCGTTCGCTTGTTCGCCAGCGGAATCGCAGTGTTTCGCAGTGCGCCGACGCGTCATTTGGCGGGAGCGTCCAGAATCGACGACGCCTTTTCGGCTCGACGCGTTTTGTTTACGAGCGATTGAGCGACTGTTTTGTGGCGGCACGCGAATCGAACGCAAATTTTAAAGATTACAGATTTTCCCGTCCCGGTCCAGATCGGAAGCTGCAGCGATTATGGAGCGAGCGACACTGATTGGGTGAGTCGCAGCCCGAATGGGGTGCGGTTGTTTACTTTCAGCCGAAAGTCGCTCAAATCGGCTCGATCCATATAAACCACGAAATTTGCTTGAGAAATTTCTCGATAAT